TGGGTGCAGGGTCAGCCAGCCAACCTCACACAGCCCCTCCCCCAGCTGGTTTAGCTCCCAATTAGCACCCCCCAACCCCATTCAGAGGCAGAGCCAGCCAGCCAACCTCCCAGCTGGACCCCACTGATGCACAAATTCGTGCACCTAATACATAAAATAAAAGAATATAATATTTCCTCTAAAACATGATTTTTTTTTCTTCAGTATATACTCCACAGACAAATATATTGGGTAACTAGATTTTGGGAATAAAAGCATCATTGTTATATTTTTGTTTCAGAAATCTAGTTACCTAATATATTTGTGTACATAGATAATAAAATTCCCCATGGGGCAAATATTTTTGTCTTGTTTCTTAAGCTGCTATATCTCCAGCACCTAGTATAGTGCTTTGAATATAGTAGGCTTACAGTACATTTGTTGAATGAATTATTGGGTGTATCTAATAGAAGGAAACATGATGTCATGATGAAAATATAAACCACTATATATGCCTGCTTTCTAGTTCAAGTCTCAAAGGTAAGCCTGATTTGCTTGTGACTCAGAGGAAATGCCAGATTTTGCATAGGGTATCTGATGGTTCTATTTATGCTCTTTACTCTGAGCACAAGGAATCTCTCTCTTTTTCCTGTCAGGGTTCCCATACTGCTATCAAAACTCAGTTTCAGAAGACTGCCTCTTGGAGAGTTTTCATGATTAATCAGACCTGAATCTTCATCTTGCTTTTTCTAGTGCATTTCCTGTGAGTGATAGCAATTGACATGAGGGGAGCATTTGGAAAACTTTATCTAAACTTATTGAAACTCTCCTTCTGCTCCTTCCTTCAGTTGTTATTTCCTGTGACATCCCACTCTCCATGTCTCTCCTTCCTGGCCTGGTCTTTCCCTGGGACTAAGATTTATTACTTACACTCTCCAATCCCTCCCTACCATGGCCTTCTACTGTTAAATATCTGTTAACCCAATTTCTCAAGATACGTTGATAACTGACTCAAAATCTTAGAACTTATCTCAAGAAATAGCTGATGCAAGGATACTGATCTGATCACATGAGGCTTTATTTCTGGAAAGTGCTCTGACATTAGCCAATGATGTGAATTTGGGCTACTCAATCCCTCTGAGTCTACTTTCTCTCTCTCTCTCTCTCTCTCTCTCTCTCTCTCTCTCTCTCTCTCTCTCTCTCTCTCTTTTAAATATATTTTATTGATTTTGTACAGAGAGAAAGGGAGAGAGATAGAAACATTAATGAGAGAGAGTCATTGATCAGCTGCCTCTTGCACACCCCCTACTGGGGATATGCCCGCAACCAAGGTACATGCCCTTGACCGGAATCGAACCCGGGACCCTTCAGTCCCCAAGCCGATGCTCTATCCATTGAGCCAAACCGGTCTCAGCTGAGTCTACTTTCTCATGTATAAAGTGTGAGGGTTGGTCTAGGTTAGTGTTTCTTTTCTTTTAAAAAAATATTTTTATTGATTTCAGAGAGTAAGAGAGAAACAGAAACATCAAGGATGAGAGAGAATCATTGATTGGCTGCCTCCTGCAGGTTGGACCGAGCCCACAACCCAGGCATGTACACTTGACCGGATGGAACCTGGGACCCTTTGGTCCACAGGCTGATGCTCTACTGAGCCAAACTGGCCAGGGCTAGGTTAGTGTTTCTGTAAGTAAGTGCTATAACACTGGTCCAAGAATATATCTTTCAAAAATATGTTCTAAATATATATATATATATATATATATATATATATATATATATATACACACACAATATATATGTATATGTATATGTGTGTGTGTGTGTGTGTGTGTGTGTGTATTCTGAGGTCACATTTGTTTGGAAATCTCTGTGTACTTTGCCACCTTCTTATCTATTGGCAAGTTAACATCTTGACAAGTCCTGAATTAAGAAACTATTTTTCTTTACCTGATAACTTACTTTTTTTTATGGGGGAGGACTAACGTGTTGGTAGTTCCATATAACTCTATAAAGGAATCCCTAGTGGAACTTTCTGGGAATCTTGGCTGCAATTATATATTCCTTCATCTCCAATGTCAGCTGCTGTCAGTATAGAGATAAGTAGGTCAGGATTTTGGTCTTTCAGGCATAAAAGATCACATAGAACAGAGATAAAAATCCATGTTACAAGGGATGGCAATTTTAGACTAAAGGTGTTTTGTTTTGTTTTTTGTTTTTTGTTTTTGTTTTTGTTTTCAATTTATAATGGGTATGAATATTGAGAAGCAAGGTTTTCCCAGAGTAGGTAAGGAAGTGCCACAGATGAAGTGCCATTTGAACTGAGCACGAGGAGTGTCTGTAATAACTCACCAGGTGGAGAAAGTGGGAAAGGGTATTCCAGGCAGCTGGAATGACATGGCGCAGAGGGATAAAATACCAGCGTATGTTCTAGTCCTGGGAAACACGTTTGTGGTTCTGGAGCCTAGAAGTGAAGGCTGCCTGGGGAGAAAGGAGTGAGACGAAGGTCTGGGAGGTGGTAGGGGTCTGCCTACCATGTGCTTTCACTGTCCACTCTGAGCCTGTAATTTACCCAGTGGGTAACCGGAAAGCATCCTTAGCTTGGTTCCTAAACAGGGAAATTAGATGATCAATAAGTATTTGACAAAGAGAATTCTGGAAAGCAAAGGAGAACATTAGAGTAATGAGAGAACATTCTAGAGTGCTAGGCAAATATGGGAGAAGGGGAGAGAAGTAGGGAAACTATTATGCTATTGAAGTGGTTCACGTAAGAGATGACAAAAGGCTGAATAATGACAGTGGTGAATGAATGAAGTGGAGGAAACAGATTTGAAGAAAATTTAGAAGCTCAACAGATTGTGTGATAGGACATGAGACAAGAAAGAAGACAAAATGCAAAAATGATTCTATGGTGTTTAGCTTGGGCAAATGTGTTTTCTCAAACTTCCTGGGACAGGAATTTCGGGAGTGAACTGTTTCATATAGATTTTCAATTGGACTGGGGAATCTATTACATTGAGTACTTTTCCTGAAAAACACATCCATTGGTTTTTGTGTTTCAGAGTCCAATTATGATTTAAACTAAAGATTATAATTTTTTAAAGGAAATTCAGCATCTATAAAAATAAATCTATTCCAAACTGAAATTTGGTAAACACTCAATTACATGCTTGTCAACAAAATAATATTTTAACCTATATGTTTCCTTTGATAAATAAAAACCAAATCCATTTGAATTTTCATTTAGTTAAAAACTCTTTCTTCTTTTAGCCACGGATAATCCTAAATGTACTGATATCTCAATAGCTGAAATTTCAAAATAATTTCCATTTTCTAGGAGGAAACAGCAGAGAACACCAATACTTATAGTGATTTCAATGTTAAGAAATACTTTCAAAAATTAGTTCTACATTTGGGCCTTGACACTAAATGTTATTGCTACTAATACATGAAAAACATATTAAGTTTATAATCAAGTATTGGGATTGTTTCAAAAGCATCTTTGTATGCCAGTAAAAGTTAGAAAAATATTCTTTCAACTATTCACATTTTTTTTTAGAAGTTCATGATTGCTTATTGTATAGAACATAACAAAGATTTTAAAGAATTATTTTTTTTCTAAAAAAAACCTTTTGAAGTACAGGGTTCTTTTATTTCGGGGGGTGGGGGGGGAGGCAGGGAACCCTTCTTTGTAGAGGCAGGATGTGGAGACTAGCATGACCCAAATTGTTTACACAAAAGCAGTCCACACCTCCCTAATTAGGTCAGAAAATTTTGCCTTTACCTGCAACAGCTGCCTTCTATTAGTACTGGAAACAAACTCTGCAATCTATGGTCATTGAACTATGACCACCTTCTCTTTTTGAAAAAAAAAAATTTTTTTTTTTTTTTTTTTTTTTTTTCTGTCCAAGAGACCCGGAATCCAGAAATTGAATTGGTGGTGAGGAGCTTCGATAGACATAACTTATCAGGGTTCACCTTATAAACAAACTGACTTATCAGAAAGGCAACACATTATAAAATGAATGCGATAAGGGAAGTCAGAGAGTGACTCCTGAGAATTTTCCCCCCCTTTTACATCGTAAAGAAATAAAGATAAAAATGGAATGTTCTTATGTTGCATTTGAAGAAGCGCCATGACATTGTTTTGAAATACAGTTAGAAACTTTGGAAAGCAGGTACAAGTAATGGTTGTTACCACTATTCTGGGGTTAAGGATAAAAGGCTTCTATGTCAGTTTGGGCAGGTTTCTAAATGCATTTTATTGCATCTGAAAGAAATTTGCATTCTGGAGGAAAATGCAATGCAAAAATGAGTTGAGACACAATGTCGCTTTATCTCAAAGCAAAGCAACCTTATTTCCTTCCCTGTAGTTGAAATAGAGGGCAGGCAAGTCAGGTTGTGGTTTCTGAAATCCATCCACCTACCGTAGGATCGGATCGTAGTATGTAGGATCATAGCATCGCTGTGCCATTCTCTCCAGGGTTCAGTGCCACTCCTTTAACTTGATATCTGTTTACTTTAGAGCAGCGTTTTTCAACCGCTGTTCCGCGGCACACTAGTGAGATGTTGCCTGGTGTGCCCTAGGTGCAGACAAGACAAGAATTTTATAATTTTTCACTATTTTGTTTACTTAATATTTCATAATAAAGTAATTATAAAATACTTTCTTTGTGTTTATTTGATTCCTATTCAAGAGAATTACTTTATATATAGTCAATATAGGCACAGAGTTAAATTTTTTAACATTTTCTAAAGGTGGTGTGCCTCGTGATTTTTTTCATGAAACAAGTGTGCCTTTGCCCAAAAAAGGTTGAAAAACACTGCTTTAGAGGAGGCAGTTTTTGAAAAAAGGATCATAAATATCCTGGCCTGGTGCCCCAGAGCCATGACAAGCAAAAGAACACACTTGCCTAGAGATAGCCCTTGAGATATTTAAATGTGTGGGTTAATTTTTTTATCGACTTTAATAACTAGATTACCAGCCCCCCCTCACTTCTTTGCTTTCTATTTCTGCTCTGAAGCCTCCAGCACAGAAATCTCTGCAGGCAAATTACTCCTGAGCACATTGCCGGACAATCCTATAACGAACAGCTAACCTCTCAGCATCTGATTCCCGATCCTTTTCCGACATGGCAGGTGTGACTACCTGTATAAAATATTCAATGTTTATCTTCAACTTCTTTTTCTGGGTAAGTGTTTTTTCTTTTAATTATCAATTTTATGCAACAAAGGGGATCTTGATATAAATATCATAAAGGATAACAGGCTCTGTACTAGAGAAATAAGAGGAGGAGGAAAATGTATTTTCCATTTATTTGTTTGGATTTGTTTGTTCTTTCATTGAAAAGGAGCCAATGTCTCAAGAAAGAGCACCTCAGGATCTGTGAGGATAAACATTTTGCAACTATTTTGATATTGTTGCAAAAACAATCACAGGGGGGAAAAATACCCCTTAATTAAAGGATAGTTATTCTTAGTTGTATATCATGCAGGCCTCCCGGTCTTGGGACCCTGTGGGAAAATTCTGATCTGATTTCACCTGGATGGAGCCCAAGCCCTTTACATCTGGGGTTGAAGCAGGTGGATGGTGGGATGTCAGCGAAGATAAAGGCCTGAGAAAAGGATTGTTTTCAGAAACCCACAGAAGAAACAATGGGTCATAAAGAACTTGAGAAGGAAACAATAAAAGTATTTAATCGTGAAAAGGTGAAACTAAGCCACTCGGTTTGTATCAGCAATTGAAAGTTAGGATTTTGATGTGTCATCACCCCACCTTTTAATCAACAGGTTCAGTATTTTAGCAAGTTCTCTTGTTTCCCTTAAAGGTCTATTGACATAAGACATAGCAAATACATTGGTAAGTGGAATCTAACACTGGAAAATGGAAAAGTTAAGATATGGAAAGGCAATAAAGTAAAGGGCAGGCAGGGAGGTAGGAAAACTGACATTATTTTTCGTATATATGGTGCAATTTTAGATTGTTCCAAGGAAATAATCATTTTGTATACTGATTTAAAAACTGGCTAATGCAGTATAAGCAGAGGAGAGTTGTGGTTTTGTTTTTTTACCTGGTTACCTCCAGTAAACAGGCAGCTGGTATCTAAATCTGTTCTATTACACTAATGGTATACTTAATTAAACAATAACTATAAGAATACAGTCTTATTGTACAGACTGACTTTCCATTCAACATCCAGTCGCCATAATGAGTACAGATGATACGCAGAAGTTAGAGAGCATATTAATAGATAAAATAAAAAAAAGGTTTGTTCTTTGTACTTTCTCTTTTCTCTAAAACAGTGGGCTGCCTTTGTACAATAACTAGTAAATGAAGCACATGAATATATGCTGGTTTTTTAAGTTAGTCCTGACAAATTTCTTTCCTTGGATGTTTAAAATTGATTAAACATCGAGAGTAGAATGTAAATAAGGAAATGGCTTGTTTTGTTTTTAGCTTTTTATTACAGAGAACTTTAAACATCCACATAACAGGACAGGGACAATCAACGCCACCGTCTAACCCCAGTAGCCATGAAACCTTTGTAAATATTTTCCTGTTCATGGTCTTGTCCAACTACCCCAGCCCATATTATTTTGAAGCACATTTTGGATATAGCATTTCATCTGTAAATATTTTAGTGTATATATCTCTAAAAGATAATTCTTCTAAAAAATGTAACCGCCATGTCATTATCACACTAAAAACAGTAACAATTTCTTAATTGATTACCAAATACCCATCCAGGGTTCAAATTTACCGTGGCTTTGTAAATGTCCCTGTTTGAATCAGAATCCAGAAAAGGCCCACACACTGATAAAGCTTTTACATCCATTTTCACATTTAGATTATCCCTCCATCTTTAGGTCTTCTTCCCACCCCCCTTGAAATTTATGTACTGGTGTGTGTTGTCTTGTCAGTTTTCACAATCTGGATTTTGCTATCATATTTTGCCACAGTGTATACAGATGAACACATTTCCCATTCTCTGTATTTGCTCTAATTTAATAGGCACATCAAGCAACTTGAAAAAATTCAGGTTATTTATTTTCTCAGATCTATAGTAATAAAAGGGTAATATGCTAATTATATGCTAATTAGACAGGAAGACCTTTGGGAGACTGGCTAGGGAAGGCAATTGGGGGCCATGAGGCCAGCAAGGGAGGGCATTTGGGGGTGAGCAGGCCAGCAGGGGGGGAGGGCAGTTGGGGACAAGCAGGCTGGAAGGCAGAGTGGTTAGGGATGATCAGGCAGGCAGGCAGGCAGGTGAACGATTAGGAGCCAGAAGCCCCAGATTTTGAGAGGGGTCCCAGATTGGAGAGGGTGCAGGCTAGGCTGAGGGACCCCTCCCCCCTGCACTAATTTCATGCACTGGGCCACTAGTATAACTACATTATAAGTGATACTGTGTTCTTTCATCAGGAGGTATATAATGTTTGAACATGTTACTTTTGATGATGTTAGTAGACACAGATACTCAAGAGAACCTAAATCCTTAGTTCTGTAAGAGTTTCAAATGAGTGATATTACATTTCTATTATTTTTCCTTTATTTATTAGCTACAATGTTTTTCATGAAGGGAAATGTATCATTGACTCATTGGTTGCCAGTGGTACCCAGTTTTTATTTTAAAAGGCAGCACAAATGTTTCTTATTTGTTATCCAGCAGATTTCAAAATGATGAGCTAAGTTTTTGGTATCATACAACAAGTATAAGCAAGTATTTTCTTTAAGTAGCTAATGCAATAATACTTTTAAAAGCCATCAGAGTTCTCATCTTCATTGATGCATAATTTATTCCATCTTTGGCCAGTGGGAGCATCCTTAAAAGTTGTCTCCTGAATTTTTTTTTACCATGATCTTTAGAACTTTGATAACTTCTTCACTACCAGGTATGACAAGATATTTCAAGCTCACTTCCCTATTTCCTGTCCCAGCCTGGATTCAGCTATTTTTTCAAAAAGTACTGATACCCATTTTTTTTTTAAACTATAACCATTGTCTTTTCATGGTACAGAATATGTCTCATTTAAACAAACCAAAATATGAATATGCCAATAAGTGCATGTTTTCTATTTTAATAACATGTCCCAGTAGTAATCCTCATTATGAAATTACTAGAGGCCTAGCACATGAAAATTCATGCGTGAGTACGGTCCGTAGGCCTGGCCATGTGATCAGGGCCATCTTCCCCGGCTTCTGACAGCTGGCCACACCCTCTTCCACCACCCACCTCTGGGTCCCCATTCGCCGTCAGGTAATCAGAGCGGGCTGGCCAGGAAGAGGCACCAAGAGGTCGCAGTTCCAGCCTGCTTGCTGGCCCTGTCCCTGCCACTGGTTTCCCTCCGTGTGTGGATTGACCGGCGGGTTGGGGGCCTTGGCCTGGCACTTCCACATACCCAGCCACTCACCCCTGGTTCTTCATTTGCCATTGGGCGATGGGTGCCTGCCGGCCAGGGAAAGGGACCAAGAGGTGGTCAGTGTGCCTCATAGTGACTGGTCCAGTGGTCGTTCTGGTCATTCTGCAATTAGGGTCAATTTGCATATTACCCTTTTATCATATAGGATGAAACAGTGGAAATATATCTCTTTTGTAAAAATACAGCATACAAAGTGCAAACATCAGAGGTCAGTACAAATAGGTAAGCAGGAATATGGAATAAATCTGAATTTTAAATTACTCTGATAAAGACGGTGTAAGAAATGGGTATGCTATAGGTTCAGCATAATCCATTTAAGAGCAGAGTTCAAGATGAGTTGTGGACACCTCTACCATGCTGTTACTTGACATTACTCTTGCTTCCCTGGGGTGCTCTGATTATTGTATGGGTATCATTATTTCTTTGTTTTTCTGATAATGAAGACAAAGTCTGATGCTGTAGATTTCAGTTAGACATTTTTAACTTCTCTGGGCTGAAGGCCTTGTTCTTACCACCAGCACATTGCTGAGCTCCACAGTCTCAATATGAGCATCTTGAAATGGAGGCTTTGGATGAGAGCAACAGCTATAGAGACCAATGATAACGTCTCAGCCTCCAGGCAACATGTTTTCATTCAAAATCTAGACAGCAGGAGTAGGCTCTGAGGTTAGCGAGCCATTCCTCTTTCTATTCTTCTCTCTACCCACAACCCGGAGTTCTCAGCTGGAATTTTACAGTCCTTCCATAGGAAATTAGCAATTTGTCACATTCCTAATGTTTACTTACACAAAATTTCAAGGGCCCCACTGATGTGGTTTTCGTATAGATATCCAGGGCCTTATGTTTTTAAATGCATTCTTTCTGGTGTAACTTGTGAAACTAAGCCTTTGCAAAGTAGGGCCAGATGTTGAAATATCTGTAAGATATGCATATGGTCACTTAAGTTAAACATACTGGCTTCTTTTGTGAGAGAACTTGAGATATGCCACACAAATATGCTGTGATTTCCATTTGTTAGAATTAGTCATTGAAGAAAAACATGTGAAAGTGAGTATCACTTCTAGTCACTCATGCTAGAGGGTGGTGTGAGTTGCAGTGTCTTGCAAATGATGCAAATAACAGATAGATTATAGGCACACAACCTATTTCTCTAGTCTTTTGTCAAAACAGATGAACTGCCCACCATTCCTTTTGATCCCCTCAGATGAGCCAGGCTGGGGGGTACTGTAGATGCTTGAGATGTCTTAGAAGTCTGGGGGAGCTTGGAACACAGGGCCTTGGGCTCATGGGTGCAGAGGAGCCATTGCCGGTGGCAGAGAGCCATGGAGAGGCCAGCTCTGTGTGAAGGAAAGCAGAGTGAAGGAATGTTACCGATGGCAAATGAGGTGAAGTAAGAAGGAGGAGCCAATATGTAAAGCCAAATGGATCCACAAGTGAGAAAAGCCCATGCATGCACGAAGCAGTTTGAAGAGAGCAGAAGGAAGCTAGAGTTTGGAGCGTGTCCAGAAACCAGCATTTTGATGTTCATCATTGTGTTTTATGTGGTGCCTGGGTCTCTACATTAGATGTTCTGAGAGCAATTAAAAGAGTTGATGCAGAACAGACATAACTAGGAGATAGCCTGTATTAGAAAATAGGGCACAATTATATTTCATTCTGTCCGCTGATAAATTCCCTCAAGATAAAAATTTGACCATGGAAGAAATGTGTGAGCTTTGTAAATAAAGCAGTTGTCTGCCAGTATGCAATCTGTGTGGTACTATAACAATGA